TTAATCCTCGCTGTATACCCGTGACGGATCAAGCGATCATGTTCCCAAACAGAATTAAATACCGAGACTCACGACGAGAGAAAAATCTCAATGTTCCTATCCTCCGGTGAATTAATTTTCTCTCTTCTCAGATTAATTGAACATCAAACTGCCGATGCTAAAATACATCATTCCTGGCAAATGGGGGCGGTGAAAGCTCGTGCTACGAGGCTCTAGGTGGGTGGCTCGGTGGATAGAAATGAAGGGGTAACAAGAAGAATAGCATGAAAATCGAAAGGGGGGCGGGAAAATAGTGTAATGAGGATGCGCAACACAGATGTTGTACCCTCCAGAAGGTATAAAATCCTTCGGCGGGAATGATCCAGTATTCAGTATTGCTATCGTCAGGACTCGGTGTACACCCCATCTTTATTTACTCAGCAGGAAGTAGAATCATAAATTTTTCGCAGCTGAAAATAAATACATTCTCTCGGCTCTGCCAGCGCTCATACTATTACTCATTCGTGATTATTTTTCGTTTCAATTCAGTTTTAACGCTGAGTCACTCAAACTCTTTTGCGGTGATAAGTAGATTAATTGACGTGTTATTTGAAAAATCACTTCTGAAATGAAAGATCATCCTCGCTTCACTGTGCTAATTTTTCTCGTATTTGCCACGTCATTCAACCGTAAGTTATCTTTCATGGTTTTGTGTTTTTTATTTTCATTGTGGGAGATTTATTTACTACTTTATTTACGCCTTAGGGGAGAGAATTCACTGAATAATTAACGAAACCAAACATTTTGTTTGGAAATTATTTCCAGGGAAATTATTATTATAAATATTTCGAGTATTGTGGGGAGATAAATAATTAACGAAAAATTACGTGACGATTCGGAAATGTCACGAATTTTTTTGAATTTCTGTTGATTTTTTTTTGGTTCTTAGGATATGTTTAATTAGAGGAGACTTGCGTTAATTGTTTGTTTGATTAGATGACAGCATATTTGATTTCAACGCTCGGTTTGACAGAAGTCTTTGTAGGAGTTCTCAAGCTATTAGCGACTTTATGCAAACGTGTGCTCGGTAATTATTAGAAAAATGAGTGATTGAGGGGGAGTTTGAAACGATCGAAAGGTTCTGTTGGCTACAGAAATCTTTTTGATGTTTTTCCCCTCATCGGAAGTCTATGGAAGACTCGTATAATCTATCCACACGTTTCGCTCAATCGAAAACATTGAAAGAAGAAATGATTAGGATTTTTATTTTCATCGACTGATTATGCTAATAAATCTGCTGACTCCATCACTAACTCTTTTCAAATCATAATAATTTTTTTATTACTAATTAAACATTGTTTTTCATTAAAAAAAAGTTATGCATGTATTGAAATTGAAATGATTAAAAAATATTTTGATTTGTGAATTAGAATTGAAAATGTTGTTGAATAAGAAAATCGGGGGTTTTCAGGGGGCGAGAGGATCAGTGATCTGATCGCGAAATTCAATGAGCGAAGAGCAGCGGGAATTCTCGCACAACCGCGAATCGGAAGGAACGCGGGAATGGGGAGTTTTGGACGTGCGGATGGTGCTGCTGGACTAGTGCAATATCCGCGTGTCGGACGATCTGGCCCTCCAACAGCTGATGATATCAAATATCCAGAATTTGATGGCGAGGTCAAGAATCATCGTCAGCTGTTGGACAGCGTCGGGGATATTAACGATCAGAGTGAGAATTTATCGGCAAGATATACACTAACAAATTTCATTATATTTCAGCCACTAATTATCTGAATTCGCAATTTTTTTAGTTTAAATTCTATTTCACCTTCTCATATTTTATACTACACTGACAATTTATATTTACATTAATTTATTATTATTATATTATTATTATTTTATTGTTAAATGGCAATTTGAATTGAATCTTCAGTAAAAAAAAAACAATCATTAAATTTTTAATTTTTCTTGAAAATTTAAGAAATTTGGGGTTTTCATGTTAAATTTTATGCTGACATTTTTTATACTTATTATTTTAATTTAATTGTTGATCGATTGATATTGTAATGCAGAAAATTTCGATGAGGAGTTACGTAGACGACTGGGCAATGGAATTTGGGTGGAAAGCCCAAAATATGGGGAGAGGAGAAATCTACAGCGAACGCAGTGCGAAAATCAAATGAACAGCGCTGGGATTTTTATTGTCACACCTAAAGGTTAATTGTTGTTCATAAAGATGAATGGAAGTCTGAATTCTCGAAATCTCAAATTTCTCATTCTTTAGAGGAATTCTTTATGACAAAATTTTTATCGGACATTCATGAATGTATTTGTTTAAATTTCTAGTCTGCAATTACGATTTTTATTTATTAATGAGCGAATGAGGTAATTTTTAAAATAAATTTTCCTCGTACTTGAACTTGAATTAAAATGTCAATTTCATTTCTCCAATTTTTTGGAATTCCCGCGATCACCTGGAGAGTCCGTTGAATCAATTTTTCTCCACCTGAAATAATCAATGAATAAAAATTCCAGATTACCAGAAGATCGAGCGTCAATTGCTGCAATACTACCCTCGATTATCAGACCACTCTCGCTAATAGAAAAAAAAAAAAGAATTCACGATACGAGAATGAGAACACAAGTGATCATCATGGAAACAATTAACCCAGAGACAACGTATCCATGAATAAATAAATTCAATAAATAAAGATGAATGAAAAAATCCTCAAACGCATAGAAAAATTTTAAACAAACCCAAATTGAAATCTAAAGTAAATAAAAAATTGAAGAAGAGCAAAATAAAATATGCAAGCTTATCACCACCCACATCTTCTCAAACCTCGAAATCTCGATTGTTAATGAACAATGATAAAAAAAAAATCAAAAATTGTAAGATAAAATTTCAATCATTTTATTAATTGACAAAGCGTTCATAATAAATACCGATTTTACTGATGTTTCACTTAATTACGCACGTAATATTCTGGCACGTAAGATTGCTCATTTACTACGCAAATTATCATTAATCCATTTTTTTAATATATTTTTTTTTTTGTCTCATTTATCCTTTTATACGTTATGGTATATTATAACAAATATTTACATAGGTAGTGTTAACAAACTAATGATACACCTCGTGTTTTCTGTGTGTATGTGCTCTCATAACGGATAGGGAAGTGGATAAGGGTGAGATGAAGGAGATGGAACGAGATACATTCGAAAAAACCAGTAATTAAATTGTTAATTGCTCTGATGATTTATCTAAAATTACCTCACAAATTTATCTCTTTTCGTAACCTTAATACTATACTTTAAATTGTATTATTAATGTTTTCTCTTTTTCTTTTCAATACGTGAGAGTACGAAGAAAGGTATTTTATAATCCATGAAATATTTACAATATGATGAAATTTATCAGTAGATTGATCTAATTAAAGGGACTACTTCGCAGTGAAAAATTTGTTGTTAGAAATTCATGGGTTATGGCTTTATTGGAATATCTTTATTGGGATTGCACGTTTGGGATTGATCATTTCTCTGGTTTAAATTTGTGAGATTTCTACATGGAAGTGCCCATCGTCTTGAACGAGGCATTGGGACGATAGCCGGGCTAATTCAAATAGGAAAATTTATTCTTGGAATTCTATCCGTTTCTATTTCATCGGAGATAGATTTATTTTGTTTAGAATGTTCCAGTGGAAATTATTGAACAATCGTTTTCGTTGGAAAATCCATTCTTCCTCCCACGAATAAAATCCTCTAACATTTGCTCGTAAACTTTCAAATTCTTCTCTTAATTCTCTCATTGTAACTATTCCATCCCATCTCCTTAGCAACAACAAATTTCCCCTTGCGAGTGAGGAAGACATACATCCACTCAACCGATCAAATTCACAATCATCGCGAGTGGAAGAATTCCGTCAAAATATCCGCAGGTCTTCCAAATCGAATTTTCTGCCAGAAATTCCACAATTCACTTAATAAGAAATTCGCAAACTTCCCCTAGGAAATATCAAGATATTTTCCCAGGGAATACTCATGTCTGAATAAATAATTTTCAGACATTACAGCGCCAGTCGCAATCGCTCAGAATTCTCCCACCGAACGCGATACTCACACCACAAAGAATCTTAATTAAAATACTTAAAAACTCGATTCAGTACCAAACACACGAAAAATCGTCAAGCCCCCGTGTCCCCCTCCTTACAACGAGACAAATTCAATGGGTGGCTTAATAAAACATGGTGGGGGTGGTGGTGGTGACAGCCTCAAATCATCGGTCAACGAGAATGTCGAGCTACCAGTGGCAGTGACACGTGGCCCCATATTATCATACTGCGAGCCACTATCAGTCCTGAGTGTTCTCCTCGGTAATGTTGCAAAACTGGATATAATTGAGCCAGTTGGTAATGCACTCGAAACATGACACTTATCAATGATCGCCGGTGCATGCACCGGAATATCAAGTAGATCAGGATAGCATCTCTCCGAATCCTGTGGCATTGACACCGATATGAATATATTACCGAATATTCCGGAAGGTAGTACACCACCACCAGTGAATTCAGGTGGTGGTGGTAGAAAGCCAGTGGGACAATTGACAGTTCTGACAGTCTGTATGCTGCAGTCAGACCTGAGTCTCTCAACAGTGACAGTGGCAGCGTCACATATGGATGCTCTCTCAGCTAATTCAAGATCACCAGGACTGCAGGATGTCTCAGCAAGACTGCCCTGACCACTGCCCCTGTCATTGTTATTTGGGGTTGTCGTTGTCACTGACAGATCCAGCAGCTTCTTCTCCTGATCACCGAAGCTGGTGCTGCCCTGGAGTTTGACCTTCTCCCTTCGGCTCCGTCGTCTCGAGGTACCACACAAGCAAACTGTCAATAATACTGCCAAAATGAAAGCGCACAGTGCAACAGCTCCACCACCAGCCAAACTGACCCACAACAACCAATTGTCTGTTTGGGATAATGTTGGGGCTGTTAATACTCGTGGTACTACAATATTCACGGTCTCGTGATCAGTACCAGCGAGATTCTTGGCGTGACAGGAGTACTCTCCGGCGTCAGAGTCACTTGTATTGTAGATTGTTATGTTGCTCCATTTCCTTGGGACATCCGACTCCGATGATCTGTGAATGTTGGAGTTTGATGTGACGATTATGCTACTCGTTGGATTGTCCGGACGTGTCAGGTTGATTGGTGAACCGTTGAACAGCCACCACAGCTCGGGTTCAGGATCTCCAGAGACTGAGCAGGAGAGACTCAAGTTTCCATTTACCTCCTCTTGGACTTTGTTGGCGAACAGACCAACTTCGGGGGAGCAAGCAAACTCCGAGGGCTTGGTGTCCTCCCATCGACGCTTCTGCAGGCGAGATGGTCCTGTGCAGATTTGAGAGACCGAGTAGAGCTTTCGCGGTGTTTCTGGGATTAACCAGCTGCGGAAGGCCTTCAATCGGCAGTCGCAGGACCACTTGTTGTTGTCAAGGGTCAAGGTCTTCAAGCTTGGTAGAGCAGACAGGGTTCTTGACTCGAGGTACGACAGCTGATTGTTGTCCAGCTTCAAGGATTCCAGACCGGTTAATCCAGTGAAGGCTAGACCGTGGATTTCAATTAATGCGCAATGCTGTAACTCGAGATTTCTCAAGTGTCCGAGCTCCGGAAATTGGTGAGATTTCAATCTTTTCAGGGGATTACCGGATAGGGTGAGAATTCGCAGTCTCTCGTTACCGAGAAAGGTATCCGGTTCTAGTGATGTCACGTGGTTGTCGGAGAGATCAACTTCCACCAGGATTCGCATATCCCTGAAGGCGTCCGGGTGTATTTCATGAATGCCAGCGTTACGGAGAAAGACCTTTTGCAGATTGACGAGGCCAGCCCGTTTGAATATCTCAGATTGCAATGCGGTCATTTTGTTACCGGACAGGTCGAGCACTTGCATCTCCGGATCGAGCGAGGCTGGCAGCGATGTAAGACCTGCATCTGGACAGAATGCTGATTTTTTTCCCGATGTCCACCGACAACGGCATACTGCTGGACAATCTGTCCAGTCCGGAAAAGCTGCCGAGTGCGTTCGGAGAATTTGAGCCGAGATTATCAGCAGGAGGGCGAGCAAATGGCGCCCTCGAAGAGGATGAACTACCGACTCTAACATAACACCGAACCTGTCGGCAAAATTCATGATTACTTTTTATTTTTCATATTGATTAGAAAAAAATCGGCTCATTTCCAAAGAATTTTTCGATTATTATTATTTCTTCTGTTCCATATTGATAACAACAGAAATAAATATTGCCCTGATGAGGAACACACATCGTGTTCGAAACGTTGGCAAAATTTAAATTAATTCATTTAATTTTTTGCAAATTTATGACCGTTAATGGCCCTGATGGAAGGCTTAATCATTGATTATGTAATTACATATAATAGTTTAAATATACTTCAAGCAATAATTATAGTCATAATTTATATAATTACACGGATTCATGTGGAATCCATATTTTTTATCATTTGAATATTACTTAATTTTTGAATTGAATTGAATAATTTATTCTTTTTTATCTTGAAGGTCTTAATGAGAATGAAATATG